TGTAACATCCTGATTTTTATATAATAAAGAAATTGTGGAATTTAGGTTTTGAGGAAAAAAAATGATAATAATAGGAATTTATATTATTTGAGGTTATTTAGAAATAATATTATGATTAGGTATTTAATTATGAATTTAAAAATTTAAATTTAAAATCACATAAGCAATATTTAGTTAAGATATAATACATAAATAATTTTTTTTATGTGGTGTAAAAAAACAAGAGAAGGTAGAAGGAACAAAAAAAAGGGGGGGTGGAAGGTTGTTGTTTCTAAGTCCCACATTGGTTAGATGAGGGAAGAGAAGAGGTGCCTTCATGTATAAAAAGGAGGGGTGTGTGTGCATTAGGAAGCATGAGAGGCTAAGATGCAATTTAGAGGAAATTGCAACTTTTGGCCCAAAGGTTTGAATAATTAAATTCAAACCTATAGTTTTTTTTAATATAATTTTGGGACTCACAATCCCATTTTTATATTATTTTTCTCTCTTCCTCTCACGTTGCTCGGCGTTTTCTCGCAAGGGGGGATTATTTTCTTTTTCTTCAGGTATGTTCTAACTTCCTGTTTAGATTAGCATTTAAAAATTTATTTAATTACAAAATTAATTTTATAGTTATTTTCTAAATAATATTAGCTTTCTAGTGATATGATTATTTTGTAGGATAGAGTAAATATTTTGATTAGGATTTTTTCTATAGGATAGTTAATCTGATGATATGATGGATTAAAAATATAGGTTAAAACTCTTAGGGATATAATAAATATTATAGAATATTTTCTTGAGGTTGAAACTCATGTTTAAGAATTTTTGAGTTAAAATCTAGATCTATATGGTTGAATTTATGTGGAATCTGAGATGTAGGGATAAACCTATGATTATTAAATATTTATTTAAGTATGAATAGGTATTTTTGAGGTTATAGAAAGGTGATTTGAGGCTTCAGGATAATTTTAAAATTTTAATTTATTTTTGGACGAATTTTTAGAATATAGAAGGATGAAATTGTGATACTAGAAGTGATTTGAGGATAAAAAAAATATTATTAGGGTACGAGAATTTTAAAAAAGAATTTGGGAAGTTAAATGAGGCATAAATCTTAAATTAGTGTTAATATGGATTATAGATCTAAGACTTTCTAACTATTTAAATTAGAGTTATTTATTTTAATGTAAAATTAATATATAGTATTGTGAAATAATTATGTAGATTATATTGACAAAGATAGTGGTGAAAAAGGAGTTGTGAAGGGGAACTTGTTATTCAAGACACAAGGTAACCATTATTAATGTGTTGTGATGGGTGTGTTTGTGAATGGTTATGTGTTGTTTTGTTGTTTGGAAAAAATTATGAATTATTGAAAAAATAAATACTGTATATACTTGTTTGAAATATTGCCAAGTGGGTTAAAAATTTATTTTGTTTATCATGATGAGATATTATTGTTCGGATATATTCTGTTTGGATATTTGAATGATGCATGACTTGTCAGGGTATTTTAATGTATGGTGTTAATGGGAATTTCTGTTCGGTTAATTATTACCACGTGGTAAGCCCTCATTGGACCCAATGAGTGGCGTGTCGCTTGGTCCAACTCACCTTTGGCCGGGTGATTTGGCGTCCGAGCATGGCGAAAGGAGGATATAAGGTGCAGTCATGCAAATTAAATACTTGTTCGGTTTGTTTGAAAGTATTGTTCGGTTAAATGTTTTGTGTGCCCACTTAGCAATCGCATGATTAGTTACATCCGCATGCATCATTACATATTAATTTTTGGTTACTGGGACTTTTAAGTCTCATTCCCCGTGGTTAATATTTTTACAGGAGCGAGTCCGGCCGAGAAAGCACCAGAGGTGTAACTATGGTGTATGAGACACCATCTTTTACGTTGCCTCTTATTTTGGATTATACAATGTATCTTGTGCCAACTTAGGACATATCTTCTTTGTGAAGCATGTAAACTCTAATCCTTTTTATTAAAAGTATTTATATGACCAAGAGGATTATGTCTGTCCCTTTGATTCATGACCTATTTAAATAACATGCTATGAGGATCTGTCTGTCCCTCATGGTTCTAATTGCTTTTTTTGAGATATTTTAAGACCTGTGGTATATTGTCTTGGATGTATCATGGTAAAAAAATTTCTACCATGATAATGGTTTTAATAATTTGCAAAAAATCGGTTTGTAAATTGAGGGTGTTACATATTGGTATCAGAGCATTTTGTTCGAGCCTCTATTTTAATAAACTTATTTAAATTTTTTGTTTGAAACTATTATTTGTGTGAATTAATATGTCTTTATTATGTATGGTGCATTGCATATAGTCGGTTGGCAATATACATTGTTATGGTGCTTCTCATTGTATGGCCATTATATAGCTAGGCTAATTTATTATTTATATCTTGTATCCTTTAGGAGGGGGAGAGAAAATGCCTGTTACTCGTGGTAACTCAGGATTCCAACATGAGCACCTGCCACCGCTACTGCCAAATGAGGAGCCTGACTTGGCGGAATTGAGAATGCTTGTAAAAACATTAACAGACAAGGTTCAAGGATACAAACAAGAGTTGACGGAGCTAAAGAGGCAAAAGTAACTGAAAATGGAGATAGGGCTCATGTTGAGAGTCATGTGGGGAAGGCAGTTCCTCACTCCTGCCACTCCGAGAGATCATGAGTCTAGAAGGAGGAAATTAGGCAGGAGGAACAGAGAGCCCCACCGACCATTACTGATGTGTGGGAAACTGTTAGGAAGTTTAACCCTCCTACGTTTGATGGTAACCTTAAACCATCCGTGGTAGAGGAATGGGTGAAGAGAATTTCGAGTAGTCACATGCACCAGCAATCAAAAAGTACAAGTAGCATTAGTGCTCCTAGTGAAAGGAGCAAGAGATTGGTGGGAGACAGCAGGGCCCAGGGATGATTCTACACTCACCTGGGAGGAATTCAAGGAAAAATTATTCAGGCATTACTTTCCATCAGAGTTAAGGTCTGAGAAGGAAGCGGAATTCCATGCCTTTAAGCAAGGGAACCTCGATGAGGACACATTCATTGCTAAGTTTCAGGAGTTATCTAGATACTCCACGTACCTGCAGTATAGGGATGATTCCGAATGGAAGGCTAAGCGCTTATTGGAGAAGGCTAGACCAGAATTGAGGGAACAATTGGCTCATCTAGATATCCGAGATTATGATGAAATGTGCATAAAACTACAAGTAGTAGCTCGCAGTAAGAAGGAGGTTGAGAGAGAGAAGAGGGGTTATTCATATAGTAGACCCCCAACCTACCCTCGACCCACCGGAGGCATTATGAAGAAAAACCATCAGGGTTCGAGTAGCTCATGGAACCAAGGAAGGCAGAAGGGTCCATTTCAAAGGGGCCAAGGACAGAGGAGCTATCATAGTAGTTATCACGGGTCACAGAGGAGCCCAACAGTATCTACCCCTGCCCCGAGTACAGCGAGCTCTCAACAGTGCACTAAATGCGGGCGTCGTCATTTCGGACAGTGCTGGGTCTGTTACATTTGTGGGAAACCCGGTCACATTGCAAAGTTTTGTGGGGACAACCAGGGCTCAAATATGAAGAACCCTTCCCAACATCCTACTGTCTCTGGCCGTGTGTTTGCTCTTACTCAGGACACCATGAACTCCCCAGATGCCATTAGAGGTAACATCAAAATCCTTCATCATGATATTGTTGCACTATTTGATTCGGGTGCTACACACTCTTTTATTTCTGAAACTTGTGTAAAGAACCTTGATTTGCCTGTGTGTATTTTACCTTTTGATATGAATGTGTCTACTCCTGCGGGAGAATCTGTAAGGACTGCTAAGGCATGCCTTAACCTAGTAGTCGAGTTTAAAAATAGGAAAACAACTATGGACTTAATTATCCTACCACTGAGAGGTATGGATGTAATTGTGGGAATGAATTGGATGGCTGCAAATGGTGCTATCCTAGATTGTAGAGAGAGGAGTGTGTCTTTATCTTCTTTGTCGGTGACCCCAGTCGAGACTCAAGATCATGTTTTTTTGTCGGCGGCGCAAGTTGATAGATGTATGAAGAAGGGTTGCCAGGCCTACATGGTTTTCTTCTCTATCCAAGCTGAGATTGATGAAGGCGTGAAGAATATCCCAATTGTCAAAGAATTTGCGGATGTATTTCCAGACGAAGTCTCCGGTTTACCCCCAAAGCGCGAGGTAGAGTTCTCAATTGAATTGGTACCCGGTATAGGGCCAATTTCTAAGGCTCCTTATCGGATGTCCCCTTCAGAGTTAGCGGAACTGAAAAAGCAAATTGAAGAGCTACTTGAGAAGGGTTTCATCAGACCGAGTGTTTCACCTTGGGGATCTCCAGTCCTTTTTGTAAAGAAGAAGGACGGAAGCCTCCGATTGTGCATTGATTATAGACAATTGAACAAAGTAACCATCAAGAACAAATATCCACTTCTGAGAATCGATGATTTGCTGGATCAGCTTGTGGGGTCCGCAGTTTTCTCAAAGATTGACTTAAGGTCAGGGTACCACCAATTGAGAGTAAGAGCAGAGGATATACCTAAGACAGCATTTCGGACGAGATATGGGCATTATGAATTCATGGTGATGCCGTTTGGACTTACGAATGCTCTTGCGGTATTCATGGATTACATGAATAGGATCTTTCGACCCTATTTAGATAAGTTTGTAGTAGTGTTTATTGATGACATTCTTATTTATTCAAAGGATGAGGAGGCTCATGGTGAACATTTAAGAATCGTCTTGCAAGTTTTGAGGGAACATAAGCTTTATGCCAAATTAAACAAGTGTGAATTTTGGCTCCAAGAAGTAAAGTTTTTGGGCCATGTTGTGTCCAGAGACGAAGTTGCGGTGGATCCTAGCAAGATTGATACAGTGATGAAGTGGGAACAGCCAAAATTTGTGACGGAGATACGAAGCTTTCTAGGTTTAGCAGGTTATTATCGTTGCTTTATTAAGGGATTTTCGCAAATTGCGATGCCCTTGACTAAGCTGACTAAAAAGGATGCCCTATTTATTTGGATTGACAAATGTGAAGCTGCTTTCTAAGAATTGAAAAAGAGGTTAACCACTACTCTAGTATTGACTATTCCTGACCCTGTGGTGCCATACACTCTGTACACTGATGCTTCTTTAAAGGGTTTAGGATGTGTTTTGATGCAAGATGACCGAGTGGTTGCCTATTCCTCCAGACAGTTGAGGCCACAAGGAAAATTACCCTACACATGACTTGGAGTTGGCTGCAGTTGTGTTTGCTTTCAAGATGTGGAGACACTACTTGTATGGATCTAAGTTTCAAATCTTCAGTGACCATAAGAGCCTGAAGTATTTATTTGATCAGAAAGAGCTTAATATGAGGCAGCGACGATGGATAGAATTTCTAAAAGATTATGACTTTGAATTACATTACCATTCGGATAAGGCTAATGTGGTAGCTGACGCCTTAAGTAGGAAGACTATTCATGCTGCAAATTTGATGGTTCATGAATACCATTTGTGGAATAGTTTTCATGATGTTCCAGTAGATGTGATTGAACATCAAATGGCCGCACTCCAGGTAGCAGACTTTGAGAGCAAATTCTGGGAAGATCTTAAAGTCTCACAGTAGAGCGATGACTACTTAAGGAATATAAGGAAGGAGATAGTGGCAGGTAAGGCCCTAAATTTTACCATCTCTGAGGACACAGTGATGAGGTATAAAGGTAGAATTTGTATACCTAATGATCCAAGATTGAGGAACATCCTTTTAGAAGAAGCTCATAGAAGCAAATATACAATTCATCCCGGTATAACTAAAATGTACCATGATTTGAAGCGAGATTGGTGGTGGCCAGGAATGAAGAAAGATGTAACTGAATTTGTTTCTAGATGTTTAACGTGTCAGAAGATAAAGATAGAACATCAGAAGCCAGCTGGAACACTGCAATCGTTAGATATTCCGAAGTGGAAATGGGATGATATTTCCATGGATTTCATCACTGGACTGCTAAGAACACCCTCGAGTAAGGATGCTATTTGGGTGATAGTAGACCGACTCACCAAATCGGCTCACTTTTTGGCGATCAAGTTTACCTCTACATTAGAGAAATTTGCTGAGATATACATTAAGGAGATAGTTAGACTTCATGGTATACCCTCTAGAATTGTGTCAGATCGTGACCCAAGGTTCACTTCAAACTTTTGGGGTGCGCTACAGAAGGCTATGGGTACTAGACTAAGGTTTAGCACCGCATACCACCCCCAAACAGATGGCAAACAGAGAGGACGATCCAGACTTTGGAGGACATGTTGAGAGCTTGTGCCATTGAACTACCAAGTAGTTGGGATAATCATTTGCCATTAGCTGAATTTGCTTATAATAACAGCTATCATTCTAGTATTAGGATGGTGCCTTATGAGAACTTGTATGGAAGGAAGTGTAGATCGCCTTTGTGTTGGACAGAATTAAGTGAGAGGAGTATCATTGGTCCAGAAATTATAGAGCAGACCACCCAGAAGATTGCAATGATTAAGCAAAAATTGCTAATAGCTCAGAGCCGATAGAAGAGCCATGCCGATAAAAAAAGATGACCGTTAGAGTTTGAAGTAGGAGATCATGTATTTTTAAAGGTTTCTCCAGTGACAGGCATTGGTAGATCCATTAAGGCAAAAAAGTTGACACCTAGATTTATGGTCCCGTATGAGATCTTGGAGCGAATTGGATCTGCTGCATATAGAGTTGCATTACCTCCACAGATTGCAAGTATCCATAATGTGTTCCACGTATCACAGTTAAAGAAGTACAACCCGGATCCCTCCTATGTTATTGAACTTGAAGAAGTGGAATTGAGGGAGAATTTGACCTTTAGATCCGAACCGGAGCGAATTGAGGACTTTAAGGACAAACAACTGCGCAATAAGACCATCCGACTTGTGAAGGTGATTTGGAAGGGTGGAGCCCTAGGTGATGCTACTTGGGAGACCGAGGAGAGTATGAGGCGAGATTATCCACATTTATTTG